TGTCCACCAGCACCCGCGGGAGCCCCACCCTGATTCACCCATGTGAGGTAGCACGTGGGCTTCTGTGATTCCTTTGTCTTTACCTTATGGTGGATAAACTTTTAGCAGAGCTGTACACATGATTTTGAGGTCTGTTCTTTGACTCAGCATCTTCTTACAAATCTTTCCATGTCACCGTGGTTTTCATAAAAGGTATTGCCCTGCGGAGGCGGAGGTTAAATAGTGCATTTTTGTTGGACGTGGAAGCGCAGCACTGCCTGTCTGTCCTGGGAGCAAACAGGCCAGCGGTTGGGCCGTGATATTTTGGGACCTTTACTGACCTGCACTTGAAGTTTGAGTGCCAGCCAAGGAGAGAAGAGGCTGGACTTAGTAACAGACTGGCCCTGCTGCTAGGCTGTCAGAAAACCCACCCTTTCCTGGAGCAAAGGTGTCTCTGGGCAGCTGACCCAGGTGAGCTGCAGCAGAGAACCACGAGGAGACCAGACTCCACGCCCTGCTCCTCCCCCAGTTTTATGTTTGAATTTAAGGAAACAACAGGGGCCCAGTTCTGCACAAGGCCCAGAGCCGGCCCCAGACGGACCCACGGCTCGGCCACAGCCCTGGGCTGAGGACGGGTCTGCCCAGGAGAGGAGCAAGCAGAGGGCAGGGGCCATTGGGATGATGGGCCGGGGGAAGGAGGGCCCAGGTTCTCACAGGACAGAAAAGTCTGGTGGGAATGCCTGCAGAATGTTCCAGAGCAGAGTCCCCACTGACATGGAGATGTTCGTGGATCAGCCCCGTGGGCTGAGGTTCAAGTTTCTGAGTGTGGACAAGTGAGCGGGGCTGGCACAGGCCCGGGGCTGCCTCCCCACTGCTGGGCTCCCCTGCGTGCAGCCCCTCGCGCCCACCCAGCACCACCTTGCTCTGCCCACAGTCGGCACTTTGAGTCCCTGAAGCTTCTGGGGCCGCAGCCACTGGCAGGAAAGGGCAGGGACGGAGACCGGACAAGCCGTCCAGGATCCGCAGCTGCAAGACCCGGACCCGCCCAGCCCCTTTCCTCGGCTGCCTGTCGTCCGCTTTGCCCTGAGACCTTTGCTGCCCAAAATGGAATTTGGGGCAGAACCGAGAACCAGCACACCCTCCCTTCCCCTCTTTCCCGCCTGTGGAGAAGCTCAGTTGCTCACCTCTGTTGGGGTCGCCACCTCATGTCCCTGTTGAGCCTCTAAACTGGCTTCTTTGCAACAAAAGCCTTTCCACCAGTCCCTGGCTGGCCAGCTGAGCACAGGTGCATCTGGGGCAGGCACGCGTTTCCCGCCCCGGTGATGCCTCTGCTCCCACCCTGTAGGGCGTCCCGGAGGACCTGTTGTTCTTCTACGAGCACCTCAGGAAGGGCGGCGGCGTCATCCGCGTGGACCAGAGCCTCCTGCTGTACCGATACCACCCGCGGGCGGCCACGCACTCCGTCC